GGACCAATGCCCACTGTCCCGCCCTTGGGTGCTGGAGGTAAAGCTGCTTTGCGGTCATGAAACTTCCGTCTGTCCAACTCGTGGCTGTCTTCAAAGGTCGGGAGATCATCGGGATTCGCTGGCATGGGGGCCATCTTAAAGTAAGGGTGGTTCAGGGCGTCGGCGGCGTTAATGCGAGATCGCCAGTCGAGTCTGAGGAGTTCTTTGAGGAGAGATATAGCCCCTGAGCCGTATTCTCTAAATCTTGTGGATAAACTGCCAGGTCTCGTACGCGGGGAAACGGCCTCGGCGCCAGGAAGTGTGTTAAATAGGGGCATGTTCTCTGGCGTGGGTGATCCCATCAAGTCCCAGATAATGTCTAGCTGGTGAGAGTCACTCTCACCCGCCAAAATCGGTTTCCCAACCAGCATTTCGCCAAAAACGCAACTAGCCACAGGTTAATAGTCTGAAGAGTGAGATTGTAGGCCTTGGATCTTACCCAACACCCCAGACGTCAATGGCTGTTGTGTACTTCTTCAGGTGAAGCAACAGCTCAGGGGGTCTGTACCATCTAGTGACGACAAGGCCAGTGTACTCCCTCTTGCCCTCCCCAGCACCGTGCCCTGACTTAGGCGTGGGTCCCTCGTAGTGTCGAGCCAGACCAAAATCTGCAATCTGGAGGATGCCCTTATTGTTGATGAGAAGGTTGGCGGCTTTCATGTCGCGGTGTAAGATGTGGTTGTCGTGCAGGTATCGGAGGCCCTCCAGAAGTTGTAACATGTAGCACTTGATCTGAGGCTCGGTAAAGGTGACCGAAGGGTTGTCAAGAAGACCAGAAAGATCGTGGTCCATGTAGGGCGTGGCCATGTACATGATTGGCCTCTTGCGCTTGTCGCCTGTAACAATCCGCGTCAGGAATTGTTGGTTCGGAGACGAGTGACTCAGCAGCGACTTACTGGCTCTCTGGGGATGCTCGACGGCCATGTCCACTAGCTGCAGGACGTTCTTGTGTGATAAGAGCTTGAGAAGCTTAATCTCGCGCAGCGCCGTGATGGGGAACTATCAATTGTCAGATGACTGGGCGGCGAACTTGGCATCCAAACTTGCATACCCCATCTTTCTCATGGTGCATAATGATCTTCTTGAGGGCAACATGGGCTCCCGTCTTCTTGGATTTCGCGCGATGCACCTCACTGTCGAGCTAGGATTAGCACGGAAAGCGCGCCGTCGCAGGGCGAACCTACCCAAAGGTACCCTCACCCAGCTTGCCAAGGAGATCGTAATCTGTGATTCGCGAGCATCCTACAAAGCTTGTCCTGGGGCGCTGGTGTTGCATCGCAAAAGTGCGAGGCGAGTCGCTGGCGTTGGGCGCGCTGGACTCCATGATGGATGGCTGCGTTGCGCGGCAAGAAGCGGCGATCGCGACAAAAGATTGACGTGCCAGTTCTTCAGGTCGTATGTGCGAGATGGTTATTAGCGGAAGGTACCGATCGGTAGCAAGCGCATTGCTAGGTTCGAAATCGAACGCAAAGGCTATATCGCAGCGGGCATCGGTGAAGATTGTGACGGGCGTTCTTCGACGGAGGGAAATGTCGTGGTTGCTGTCTCAGCCTGCCAACTTGCTTGAGGATGGAGTATGGATTGGTGTCGGGCGGTGGACATGGCAGAATTCACGTCCCAAGATGGCGCGGGAGTTCCACGTTGGTCTGGAGGCTCCGTAAGGGGTACGTATCTTTTCTTGCAAGGGCCGGTACGCTCATCTTTATTTTTGTTCCGAGCTTCTGCGTCATCGTCCGATGCTGGGCTCCAGTTTCTGCAAGTTGCAGTCAGTCTCATTTCAGTCGATTCCAATTCGCCATCCAGCGGCAAGCTTGATGCACTTTTTCCAGCCCGCGAAAGACTTGGCATGGGAACAGAATGTAATCGATAAGGATTCGATGCCTCCTTCTGCCATCTCAACCACCTCAGCACCCGCAGCGCCCGTCAACGTGTCTAGACCAGCCATGCCAGGCTTCGTTCGAGGTCACGCAGCTGGCGAGGTCGTTCTGTTACTTAATTATTACCCCATCGCTGACCCTGCCCGCCATCCGCTATCGGGGGCCAGTCCCATCCTCTCTTCCCCGCGGTACACAACTCGCATCCTGAGTTGTTGTATCAAAAACTCAACTCTTTCGCCTTATCTGTCGCGATAAGGTGTCTCTTCAGAGAACGAGGGGCAACCTCGATATTTGCCCACATTCCCTTGTCCTGCCTTATCAGAGAGTGTCTTTCTTTGTCAAGCACCACCACGCACTGATCTCGTGTCAGCTCGAGTTACTTTAGATCCGGCCAGGAATTGCCAGACGCCATCCGCATACACCACATGCTCTTCCATGTACCATTCCCTAGTTGCCCATCCCGCAAATGACTTGTTTGACTCGCCATCCGGCTCCACTCCCATGCTTTCACCATCGCTAACCGCTCATCATGGTTCTCTCCGTTAGACAAAATTTACAAAATTTTGCACGACCCCATGACTTGACCCAGTCGTTGCCATATTGCTCTCCATACAAAAGCTTCTGCCCCTCCATACTTACCCCGTGCCCCTCAACTTATCTGTGGAGGCGCCAGCAACTGATAAACTCCCAACTTCAACTCTTTCTTTGTACTGTCGTTTTCTTATCCGACGAAGCCTCTCATTGTCTCACAACAAAATACTCGCAAACATGGCATCCCAAACCCCCGCCGAGAGGCTCCTCCCAGAGTCCAACTACCCGGAGTCCAGAGTCCTGGTTATCATGACAGGCGGCACCATCTGTATGCAACCCACCGCCGACGGTCTCAAGCCCATCGGAGGGTTCCTGAAGAATGCCATGGCCCCGCGCCCTTCATTCAACGACAAATCGTCGCCTTCAGGTAGGTCATTTCTCGAGGGCACTCCAAGAACGCCGTAGAGCCATGTTGGCCACCGCTGTTGTCTCGGGTGCAATAATGAAAAAAACAAAACGTGCAGCCCTTTTGTGCACTCTTCATGTCAACTCTTCGCGCGAGCCGAACGCTCTTCTCTGCTACTGCATCACGTCATACAGAATACTTTTACCGCGCCTTACTAACGATAAGTAGTGCAACTCGAGGCTTACAAGAATGGCCAAAAGGTTGTTCTGGACAGCTTGAGGACACCACCAAGCGCCTACTCCCGTCACATTCGTTACGGCGTCCTGGAATTTTCGCCTTTGCTGGACTCGAGCTCCATCTCAGCCGAAGGCTGGACGGAAATTGCTCAGACCATCAGAGAAAATTACCGTCTCTACGATGGCTTCGTGGTTCTCCACGGCACCGACTCCTTGTCGTACACGGCTTCGGCCCTTTCTTTCATGCTTTCTGACCTAGGCAAGCCGGTTATTCTCACCGGTTCCCAGGCCTCCATCTTCGCACTCCAGTCTGACGCCGTCGACAACCTCCTGGGCTCGCTCATCATCGCAGGAACCTTTGTCATTCCCGAGGTCGGCTTGTTCTTCCACCACAAGCTGTTCCGTGGCAACAGAACAAGCAAGGTCTCTTCTGCGGCCTTCGAGGCTTTCGCCAGCCCCAACTGTGAGCCTCTGGCCAAGGTCAATGGTCTCGGTATCGATGTGAACTGGCCCATCGTTTTGAGGCCTACCAGAATTGCCGAGCTTCAGGTCACCCAGCACCTCGACACCGCCCACGTTGCCTGTCTGCGCGTGTTCCCTGGTATTAGGCCCGAAATGCTCGATTCGGTCCTCCGTGTCCCTGACTTGCGCGGCCTCATTCTCGAAACGTTCGGCATGGGCAACGCCCCCAGCGGTATCGATGGCAGCTTGACAAAGGTCATCAAGAACGCCGTGGACCGTGGCGTCATCGTCGTCAACGTCAGTCAGTGCATGAGCGGCTTCGTGTCGCCCGTCTACGGCCCCGGCACCGAGCTTGGCCGTGCCGGAGTCATCTTCGGCCTGGATCTCACCGCCGAGGCCGCCCTGACGAAGCTGTCCTACCTGCTCGCTGTGTCCGGCCTGTCAACGGCGGAGGTCAGCGCACGCATGTCCCACTCGCTCCGCGGCGAGATGACAGAAATGGCACTTCCGGTATTTTCGCACCCTTCCGGATCGCTCGACTCGGTCGTGTCGCGACTAACCGCGACAGAATCGGCATTTACTGTCCTCGGCTACGCCGTACGGAACGGGGATCTGAAGACGGTCAAGGAGATCCTGGACAACGACGCCCAGCGCGAGCTCCTCAAGATGGCCGACTACGCCGGCAACACGGCGGTGCATCTCGCGGCCGTCGGGCCCCAGATCAGCATCCTGCGCGAGCTTCTTACAAGGGGTGCCAGCGTGCACGCACGCAACCGCGCGAACAACACACCGCTGTACCTCGCGGAGAAGACGGGCAACGAGGAATGTGTCAGGTTGCTGAAGGAGACGGGCGCTCACTTGTGGCAGGACGAGGCGACTATTCTGGATTCTGTTCAATCATCTCAATCTGCATCTGGAGACGGAGTTCAAAAGTAGGATCATGAAAAGTTGTGCTTTTGTGTGTTTGCAGGCGTTGTTTAGTTTTGAGTTTCATTAGATGGCATATCTCGGCGATGATGAGAAGAAATAAACCAACCTGAAAATTGTTTCAAGTTTAAGAATAACAAGACGTAAATTTTCTGAAGAAGGCATACATTCCATCCGAACAATGAAGACCTGACAGACAGTGTGAACTGCCATCACCGCCGTCACCGGATGCCGTGGCGGGCTGCGGGCTGCGGGCTGAATCGGCCCCACTCAGGCCGGCGCCGCGCTTGAATTTTTGGGAAATTTCACTTCAGTACCCTCCATCAACAGCTTTCGTCGCTCGTCATTGATTTGCTACCCCCCGCGCAATCCACGCTTCGAAGCCCAAAACGTCCTTTCCTTGACCCTTGAGTCTCAGGGATACCGATTTGCGACCGTCTACACTTCGAACGCTTCACGATCCCGAGCAACGTTCGACACACCACTTTCGTCCACTCGAACCACACAACCTCCACAGCGAAAATGGCAGACCAGACAACACCCACGCTCGAGGGGTCGCCCGAGCTTCACGGCACCCCTCCCCTAGTCCACAACTTCTGCATCGCCGCAGCCGTCCTCTCTCCGGTCATGATGATCCTGCCCCCGCGGCGCATGGACTGGCGCTTCTTCATGCACTCGAGCATCTTCTCCGCCTCGACGAACCAGCTCATGTACGACTGGACGGGCCAGTCAATCTACCAGCGTGTCGGCGCCCGCTTCGAGGCCATGTTCCCGACGACTCTTCCCGACCAAGCACAAAAGACAAGGCAGGCCCTGCGCGAGGAGCGCATGCGTCGCGAGGGCCTCACGGAGGAGCAGATGCGAGCCATTGAGTACAAGAAGCGCTCCTTCGCGGAGAGGATATGGTACGGCAAGGAGCCCGAGGACTGGGACAAGAAGCGTGGCGAGGAGCACGCCAAGGCGTTGGCTGAGGGAAAGGGATTGGGAGACCTGATTGTGGGTCAGGTCAAGGAGGTCTGGGACGGCGAGAAGGACAAAAAGACCGAGGCGGATAACAATGACAAGAAGGCATGAGTACACCACGAAGAAGAAAGAAAGAAAAGGGGTGTAGGATTAAAATTTTGCGGATTGGGAGCTGCCGCCTGTTGTGGCCATCAGAACGTCTACGTCTGTCAAGCAGCGTTCTGGCTGAGTGGGAGCACTCTTGGCCTGTTGAATATCTCCCCTTAAGTACTGTACATTACTATCTAATAGAGTAACGCAACGCCGGCCAACACACAGGTTTTGGCTTGCCTCGACTTCCCATTCCAACAACACCACGGATATATGCTTCTGATCGCTTTGAACTTTTGATTTCCATTCCGCCCATATTATTCGCTGGACGCCATCACGCATGCGCGCTGTAAACCTTTTCCTCCACTCGTAATATCCAGTAAACCCTCGCCATTCTTCATACTCCTTTTCCCCTCCCTCCGCTGATTGGGAGTTCGTCCAGCCTCAGAGAGGCTAATTTGTCTCCGAGGCAGCTTCCTGCCTGCGTCTCAGGGCACCTTTTTGTTTCTGTTTCTTTATCTGCTTCTGCTTCACATTGTCGCTTCGTCCTCCTTGGTGCTTACCCTTGCCTTTGCCCTTTACCCTGCTCTGTTGCCTTGCAAGCTTCTTGGACTTGCGAGCGTCGACCTTTTCGTCGAACAGCTTGATCCAGGCTGCCAGCAAGGTCTCCACCTCGTCCTGGCGCTCATCCGAGTCGGCAGGAATACCGAGCTCCTTCCTGATTGAGATACGATGTCTGTCAATTTGCATCAGACGACGTCTCGCAGCCCGGTTGAGGCCATCGCCGTTCACCGTGCTAGGTGCAATGGTGCTCGGCGCCACCGATGTGTCCCTCTCGGAGGCTGATGGGTTGGCTGTATCTTCGTGCGCGGTGGTGTGCTTCGTAGGGTTCACGTCGATGATGAAGGGAAGTGGCGCGGCCTCGGCCTCAGGCGCGTTGGAAGACTCGGGGGCGGGGGCGGGAGCGGGAGCAGTTGAGGGTTCGGCAGGAGCTTCGGTCTCCTCCGCCGCTGACTTGGACTTTCTGGATCCTCTCTTCTTCTTGGGCTTCTCTTCGGTTTTCGCCGGTGACGCAGTCTTCGTCTCCGGGACTGGTGTGCTCGCCATGGATGAGGTCGCTGACTGGCCTGATGCCAGCTCTTCCCTTCTTTGCTTTCTTCTTGCTGCCCTTTCAGCACGGGCGTCGGCGGCAGATTTCTTGGTGTCTAATTTGGGAGCCGGAGTGCTGTCTACGTCCATAGCATCGCCCTACTCCAGACATTAGCACGGCAACGGCTGAAGACGTGGGGAGTCGCTCGTACCACGCTTGTGTCGAGCTTGGCGCCGCCCTCTTCCTTATCAGAGAAGGACTCGATGCGGGTAGATTTCTTTCCCATTATTTCAAGTAGCAAGTCGATTGAGGCGATAGAATGCTTATTGCTTCAAAAATGACAATACGTGACCGGCTCGAACAAATAAACCATAGGCTCGAGCTTCTCGAGGGGATGCAGAAAAAAAATTATTGATTGCTTGCCCAGGGTCTTATCTTATCGGCACGTGATAGAGGCCGTTGAAATGAGCAAGACGGCGGAAGCATCTCCGACGACCGATATTGAAGCAGCCACCCAGGGCCGTGTTGGCGAATGAGGTGCACGGCCTCCAGCTCTTTGGATAGGGCTGGCTTCTCAGTGGTCAGTCAAGGGTTCTTGGGAACAAGCTCAACCAACAACTAGGTGCGATAACGACGACATGCTGTCAGGCTAGACTCGGGACGGCCTGGGTCGCACGCCCACGAGCTGTGAATAGGAGGATTGGACCAAGAGACTCATGGTTTCTGAGTGCGTCATCTTACGGGCTTGGATGTTTATTCGTGTTTCCCTCGTGTATCGGTCCCTAAGGCAGCTAGTGGAGGTGGCTTGCCCCCGCGAGCGAAAACGGGCTCTGAGTGGCTGAGGGCTGAGCCACCAGCTGTCGTAAGTTTTCAGACCCTGCACGCGTCGGTGGGCTGACGCCCTGCATGGTAGGTGGTCTGCCGTGCAACAGTGGACGATGGCAAAGGCAGTGGTTGATACCCGCCTGATTGACGGTTGATTGATGGGTGACAGCTCAATCACTGAACTTTGACGACAGCCTCCCTCGTACCCTGGCGTTGTCTTGTGCTTTTCAGATATTTTCGGTCTGAGAAAAACGAGCTGCGACACGCTCGCGCCAGCATCGGATCCGGCGGACTCTGAATGAAAAGGGAGGCTGACAGGCGAAAGGGCAGATTCCTCAGAAAGACGTTGAGACCGCGGGCGGGTGCCGCGAATTCCACATTCCGGACGGTCATGTCCATGGGGTCCATCTGGCATATTGCGAGCCTTCCCGAAAGGTTTCTTGGGCTCCCCGGATATCCGGGCATGCCTCATGGCTGGGCAGCGGGCTTGTTGGAAAATTAGCTCAAGGGGAGGCCGATCGAAGGGAAAAGGTTGATTGCCGCGTCAGGGCGGTCCTTGTCGAACCGCGGCTCATGGGATGGAAATGGAATGAACACCCTATGCTGGCGTTGCTCCCTCAACGTTGTGGAATGGCCACGGTTTTCAAGGGTCATGACTCTGGCTGTTGCTGGCAATGCGGTGATGGTGCCGCTCTGCGGAACGAGTGTCGGAGCTGGGATGGTGCCCGCACTCTGCATGCAGTCAGTGTGCATGGGTCGGCAGTGGAAGGCGATGGATGACATTTCATCATCAACGGTGGTGGTGGTGCAGGATCAGCCTCTCGACGGTTGGGAGGATCTCAAAGTTGCTGCTGTGGCTTCCGGGACGGAGACAAGGTTCTGCTGACGGTCGGTCGAGACTCGAGGATCCCAACACTTGCCATAGCGATCGACTGCCAGACGAGAGCGATGAGCGGTCTCCTGTCTGGAGTTAATGGGAGGACACTATCCACATGGAAAGCGACTAAGAAGGGTCCGATATCCGGGCCGACGATGAGCAATAGCAATAGCATCCCAATATTACCAACTGGCAGCCTGTTGGAGGTTGGCAGAGGCAAGGCGACGACGACGACAGCGACGACATCAACTCGATCAACCTCAGGCTGGGATGGGTCCAATGCGAAGTGGACAACGGACTCACAGGCAGGCTGGATGGAGATGACGAGCGAACGGTAACAACCCACAAGGCCAGAAGGCAGGACAAGCTGCGTTACGCAATGATCTGAAACTTGTGGACCCCTTGTTCCAAACTTAGCATCAGAATCAGCACACAGCTGCCAGCCTGAAGCGCGGTGCCAGCTGGGAGTGATCATCAGGACCTCTATGCGGCTGCAGAGTCCTGGCCGGCACGAAGTGGTGGAGAGTGGCAGAGAGTGCCAGTCAGGCGCTCAAGGGGACCTAAGACGGGAGAGGCTGGCGATGCTGACACAGCCTCAAAAGCCGGGACTACTGCACGCCTTGCTGCACCCTTTCTGCTGCTGCTGCCGCTACTGTTGGCGCGCTGGGATTGGTGCCTGCGGGCTTGCTGTTGCTGCTGTCTCCCACACTCCTCCCCCATCCCAATCAATCATGGATCCCTCTTACGCCGTAGTCTCCCCTCCAGTGGATGACTGCCATGCTCACTCGCGCTCACACTGCCTCCCACAGCCAACCACCAATTCTCCTGGGGCTCCCTCTCTCACTTGGCGGGCTGGGCAAAAAAAGCAGAAACAAGGCCGGGAAGGCATGCGTTTGAGATGCTGGCTTGTTTAAAAGAAAAAGGCTCCTCTCCTCCCCCCCATCCGTCACTTGGAACGCGTCCTGCTTGCTTCCTCCTAGATCCCATCCCCTGACCTGTGAACCTGGAACCTCCCTTCACTCGTTATTTCCTCTGTTTTCTTATTGTTGTCATAATTCCAGATTCCCCCCTCGTGTCACCAACAAGCTCCCCCGCGCTTCGACACTCGCAACCACCGTCTCTTACTGGTCCAATCATCCGAAGGCACCCCTAAACGAGACAGCACGCACACCCAAGGCACCTCCCTACCTTAGCTCAGGTCGTCGTAGGTTGTTGTGCACAGGCGCATCCCAGCCCGCTAATTCATAATTCACCACCTCCTGGGTGAACCTGCAATTACAAGCCTCACTGCTGAGCACCCTCACCTGGACCCAAAGTCGACTTCACTAGTCGGGAGCAATTTGCCTGCTACCGACCGGTCCACAAGAGACTTTGCTCACCTCATCGTCCGCCAAACGCCTCCATCTACCCAAAAAAGCACCAAGAAGGCTTAGCTCAAGCATCTTCTAGCAAACTTCCCGAACAAATACCCACGTCTCCCCAAACCTTGGAAGAGACGACCACACGACGAACACACACACCTTCTTCTCGACTTCCCGCTGTCACATTTCTCCGCGTTTGGTCCCCTTTTCGGTACCTGAGCGATTCCCCATCGCTCTAGCCCGATTCGACCCATCGTCAGCACAGCCAAGTTCCAGCTCGGCCCTCCAAGCTAAATTCCTCGCCCCGACAAGACAAAGTCGCCCAGATCCCCATTCCCCATCATCTTCCCTGGGTATCCGTAATTCAGAGGTGCTCTGCCCTCCTCCCCGTCCGATCATGGCATCCAACGATTACTACCACGGCGGCAAAACCCCCTCAGCATCTCCGCCACCTGCAGCATACTACGCCGGCAGTGCATACAACAACATTCCCTCTACGAGCTCTACGCCCGCGCCTCCTTACAGCCAAATATCACAGACCCCCGGTGCTTCCCATCCGCCGCCACCGCGCGTGAACACCGTCTCGCCTTTCGAAACAGTCTTTGACGATCATGTCTATCCAGTAGACTCAACGCAGGACGGATTCCGACACAACGCCAACGGCACTCCCCAGCAGAACATGAGCCCCCAGGCTGTGAACAACCCGCAACGCATGAACACCGTCCACACTGTCAACACCGTTAGTTCTGTCTACAGCAGTGACAATCCAAACGACCCGCGCAACATGCAACCGTTGCCTCCTCTGCCACAACAGCCAACTGCCTACCATCGCGATGGCGCCTACAACCAGCACGATGGCGTATACGAC